CATTACATTAAAAAAAAAAAAAAAAAAAAAAAAAAAAAAAAAGAATAAAATCCAAAATTCTCAACATGACTTCAAGGTTTTATCTCTCAAATTTGTTTGTTTTTTCTCAGTACTGGGGATCAAACTCAGGACCTTGTGCTTGAGAGGCAGGCAGTGGAACCACTGAGCTAAATCCCTGGCACGTGGCTTTACCTCTAACTTTGGTTTTCTTTTTCTTTTCCTTTTCCTTTTTTTAAGACAAGAGCTCACTATGTAGTCCAGACTGGCCTCAAATTTTCAGTGATCCTACTACCTCGACCTCCTAAATGCTGGGTTAGGGCCACACTTACCACACCTAGCTTTGGATCTTTTTTTTTTTTTTTAGTTTTTTTGAGACAGGGTCTCACTGTGTAGTTGAGACTGACCTGGAACTCACTATGTAGCCCAGGCTGGTCTTGAACTCACAGCGATCCTCCTGCCCCAGCCTCGGAGTGCTGGGATTACAGGTGTGTGCCACCACGCCCAGCTTGGATCTTATTCTTAATAGGTGCAGGGTTATCCACAAGGCAGTAATATGATCAGAAGTGTGTATATGTGAGAGTGTGTGTGTGTGTGTGTGTTACTGGGGATTGAACTCAGGGTCTTCACACTGAGCTACAGCCCCAACCCACTCTTTCTTTTTTTTTCTTTGTTCCTTCCACCAGGGTCTCTCTCTTTTTTTTTTTTTTTTTTTTTTTTTTTGGTACCGGGGATCAAACAACAAAGCTTGCGCTTGGAAGGCAGGAGGTGGAACCACTGAGCTAAATCCTGGGCCTCTCGCATGGGTTTCTAGATGTACCTCAGGCTAGCCTAAGAGTAACAGTGATTCTCCTGCCTGCGTCCCCAGGGTACTGGGATTACAGGATTGCACCACCATGCCTGGCAGAGTTTCAAGTTACCATTGTGTCTGCTATGTGGAAAAGAGATTGCGGAGAGACTAATGTGGAAACAGGAAGAGCAGTTAGGAGGCTTTAAAAGAAAAGATGGCTTTGTTTCATTTGAAAGTAGTGAGGCTGAGGCAGGAAGATCACAAGTTTGAGCTCAACCTGGGCAGTTTAGCAACTAAAGAAGAAAAAGAAGGGTTAGGGATGTAGTTCAGTGTGAAGGCACCTAGGTTACATCTCCATCCTGCAAAATGGATAAATAGCTGGATAAATGAATGAATAGCTAGAGACCGTTGCTCAGTGCTCTCTGAGTTCAAGTTCCAGAACTGGGGGGAAAAAAACCAAACATTGCTATGAAAGATGTTATTTGGACAAGTAGCAAGATTTGAATAAAGGGCCAGGGATTTAGCTCAGTGGTTCCACGGCTGCCTCCCTCACAAGCACAAGGACCCGAGTTCGATCCCTGGTACCAAAAACAACAACAACAATAAAAGATTTGAATAAGAACTATAGGGTAGATCCTAGTCATGCAGCAAAGTTAAAATACTCAATTTTTATAATTGTACTTTGGTTATATAAAATAACACCCTTCTTCTCAGGATGTATACACTGACATACTCAGGGGTGAGGAGACAAAAACTGCAGCTTAACACTCAGGAAGCCTACAGCAGGAGGTGGGAAGTTCCAGCCCAGCCTGGGCAACTTGGCTGCTTAGCAAAACTCGTATCATAATGCTTCCGAAAGGCCGGGAAAAGTAGCGCAGTGGAAGGCCCCGGTCCCATTCCCCCAGGCACAAGGACAAAGCCAAACCGAAATAAAACACAACAACCCTGCAACTCATTCTCAAGTGAGTCAGGAAAAAAGATTGCACATACGCACACATAGGTGCGCATGGAGGTAACGGGAGGGAGCAGTGTGGCTAGCAGTCAGTGAGTCTCAGGAGGCTGTGAAGCTCATACTTTCCTGGACACATTTCTCTGAGGCCGGACTTTGTTGTTCTCATTCATTTGCTTGTGCATTTGCAGTACGCTCCGCTTTCCTTCCCCTCAGGAGCCCCAGGGCTCAGGCACACCCCTGTGGCTGCTCCTTCCACCTCACAAGCCCCCCACCACCACCACCACAGGCCATCAGAGAGGAGCTGCCCCACTGCCTCCCTCAGCCCTGTGAGGGGAAGTCTGCTTCCTGCTTGGATCTTTGACCCGAACCCTTAGAAGGGCAGAACCCAAAACACACCTGGACTGCTACAGACCCATGCATCGGGCTCCACCTGATCTACATTCTGCGCAGAAACCTGGGCCAGAGAGGGACTTGCTTCACCTGGGGGTCACTCAGCAGATGGCGTCCACAGCGCCTGGCTCCTGGCCCCATCCTGAGGGTCCAGGGCCGATTCCTCCTGCGCCACCCCTTTCTTGCTCAGCCCTGGCATCTGATCTGGAGTCACACGCTCAGGAAAGCCTGACTAACCAATTTCAACCCCCAGCCCAAGTGGCCTTTTGGGCAGCTCCACCTGGGAAGTGACTAAGACAGCCACCCTCACTTGCTACTTAGTACTGAGTCCTTGCTCTGTCCCAAGTGCTGTGCTAAAGCCCTTGGCAGTAATTAACTCCTCTTCTTCTCCTCCTCATTATTGTCACAGTTGAGTGGGCCAAAAACGGTCCAGGCTCTTGTGCTGGACAAGAATGGCCAGGCCAGGGATTTAGCTCAGTGGTTCTGCTGCCTGCCTCAAAAGCACAAGGTCCTAAGTTAGATCCCCTGTACCAAAAAAAAAAAAAAAAAAAA